CCTGACAAAGGGTGTCAGCTACTTAAGAGGGACAATCAGCCCAGCAGGAACTCCTTAGCATAATAGGCCACACCCAATAGCAGAAACTCATTAGCATATTGGGCCATACCCCTGAGAGCACAGCTCATTGGCATATTAGGCCACACCCCCATGTTACCAGAAGTGTGGTCATCCGACCACACCCACCTTTTTTTTTGTAGCAGGAACTCCTTGCATGTTAGGCCACACACCCCTAATGTAGCCAGTCCTAATGAGTTTCTGATGTTGGGTGTGGCCTGTTATGCTAATGAGTTCCTGCTGGGCGTGGCCAACTTGGAAGCCAGCTGGAACGCCATTCCTGTGCGTTCCTGCCCAAAAATAGCCCTGGGGACAATCATGTTCACAACTGCTATGGGCCCATGAGGTTCCAGGGTGGGTGGCAACATGGTGGCTGCAGACCATCCCAGTGTGGCGGTGTGTTTTAAAGACTTTAAGACCTGTTCACAAGTACCATCCACAAGCAGTGTATACTTGATTGAAGGTTCTATACGGGGGAATGATAACAGACTTTGAAGGAGCTTCATGGGAACAGACTGGGAGAGGCAGTCCTTCAAGTCTGTGAACCCCCAAGTCATGAAAAGCTTTAAAAGAGAGCACTAACATTTTTAATTGGACTCAGAAACTAATCAACAGCCACTGAAGAGACATCAGGATAGGAGTACAATACTCCCACTGGTTAGCTCTAGGTCACAGAGGAGCTGCTGCATTTTACCCCGGCTGCAGTTGAAAATCTTCAAGGGCAGCCCCACATAGAGTGTGTTGCAGTAATCTAGTCTCGAAGCATGGATCAGCATGGCCAGATAAGACTCCTCCAGAGAGGGGGCTAGTTTCCTCACTAGATGTAGCTGGAAAGAAAACATTTTTCACTCTCATGGGCACCTCCTTCTTTGACACTAGACCGGGATCCAGTATGACTCAAGAACATGGACTCTTCTGGCAAAAGCTGCACACCATCGATGGTAGGAAGAACAGTGTTCCAGAGAATATCGTTTTCGTCCTTGTGGAGTCACAGTGACCTCAGAGCAAAAAGCCCCTGCAAGAACCATGCTGCCAAAAAGCACTAGTTCTAACTAACATTGGTGAGCAGGGTGTCCCAATAGATGGAACGCGGCCCACGGCTTGTCTTGTGGCAGGAAGGGACATACTTTTTGTATGTGATGTGAAAGACTCTATAGCTCGTTGGAGTTCTAAGGCTACCACTGTCCCCTGTCCTAAATTCCATTTCTCTGTAATGATTAAAGGCCTCATGCATCTATAAGGAGCTACCTTGTACTTGGAAGGGAAACCTCCAAGGAATACCAGGATCTTGATGCAGGGGCAGCAATGACAAGCCACTTCCCTGAACACCTATTGCCTCCCTACTAGGGGTCACCAGAGGTCAGCCATGACTTCCAGGCATGTGTGCACACAGACACACACAGTCATACACACACACAAATAGTAATATTTTTAAAGGTATTTCTCACAACAAAGGGATCTTTGAGTCTTAAAAGCTCATACTCTGAAATTGTGTTGGTCTCTTAGATATTCCTGGACTGGAATATAACTGTTATCCTGAAGATCAGCATGGTTACCCTCTGCATCTATGTCTCAGACAAATGCTTTTTTGGAGATAGATGACTAATGCATGGTGGGGAAATCTCCAGCCCCGGGAAAAGAACATGATGGAGATCCCGTGTGGACCAGCTCCTGCCTCTCACTGAGAGCCAGGAAACCTTAGAAGCTCCTGCAGCACCATGAGGACAACCTGAGCTCAAGGATATTGAGGAGTCAAGTGGGTGGAATGGTGTACCAGAGGTGGATTCTTCCACAGGCATCAGAGTCCCATGATAGGGATGTGTATTCTCCACATGATGGTCCTGAACGTCCGGACCCTGCAACTCTTCCAGAACTATCTAAGCCAACGCCAGTCACAGGAGTGGTGTTTTCACGTCTCAGTTCAAAAAGATTCAGGAAATGACCTGTAAGCATGGCCCTGTAGATAGCAGTGGCCAGGGGACCCTGGGCAAAATAACCACATCCCTGTCGATGGCTCAGATTCGGCAGTTTACCTGATATGGATCTCTGGTGAGTTTCTCATACTGTTTCACAGGCTTTGGGAGGGTGTAAGCGAAGGGTTAATCTCCTGCTCAGCAGGAGATATACTAGACTGTTGGGGGTGGGGTTAGAACATTAGTAGTCTTGGTTCCTACCAGAAGGCTCAGTTGGGTCTCTCTCCCAAAGACTTGTTGAAGGAGGTAAGACTTTTTCTGCATTTGTTCCCTTTACGATACTGACTTCATCTCCTTGGCGGTCCTACATCTTCCTTTTTCTTCACTCTGCTCCTCACAGCGTACACTTCCTATCAGCTCCTCAGCTTCAACCCATTATTGGGGGTGGGGTTAGAACATTAGTAGTCTTGGTTCCTACCAGAAGGCTCAGTTGGGTCTCTCTCCCAAAGACTTCTTGAAGGAGGTAAGACTTTTTCTGCATGTGTTCCCTTTACAATACTGACTTCATCTCCTTGGCGGTTCTACGTCTTCCTTTTTCTTCACTCTGTTCCTCACAGTGTACACTTCCTATCAGCTCCTCAGCTTCAACCCATTAGTCCTCATACCAACTGAAATGAAGCCCTCCCATTTCTGGATCCGTCTGCTCCTGTTCCTCCCTTGCTCCTTTCTGACATTTGAACCCTGTTTCTCCCTTTCCACTCCTTTGATGGTGTGCCTCCACTTTGAACATTTACGTTTTGAAACGGCATTGTGAGTTCCTTCGTCAGAGGCCAGTCTTTGTATGTGACGTGGTTTCTGGACTCTTAAGAACATAAGAACATAAGAGAAGCCAATGTTGGATCAGGCCAATGGCCCATCTAGTCCAACACTCTGTGTCACACAGTGGCCAGAAATACCAGGTGCCATCAGGAGGTCCATCAGTGGGGCCAGGACACTAGAAGCCCTCCCACTGTTGCCACCCTCTGCCCCCCCCCAAGCACCAAGACTACAGACCATCCCTTGCCCCAGACTGAGAGTTCCTATCTAGACATTGTGGCTAATAGCCACTGACTGACTTCTGCTCTTAAGAACATAAGAGAAGCCACGTTGGGTCAGGCCAATGGCCCATCTAGTCCACCACTGTGTCACACAGTGGCCAAAAAATACCAGGTGCCATCAGGAGGTCCATCAGTGGGGCCAGGACACTAGAAGCCCTCCCACTGTTGCCCCCCCCCCAAGCACCAAGAAGACAGAGCATCCCTTGCCCCAGCCTGTGAGTTCCTATCTAGACATTGTATATACTCTTCCCTTCAAGCTGGTCCTGAAACCTTGATTGTGGGGACTGCAAGCAGGAGGAAAAGATCAAAGCACAGCAACAGAGCATCCGAAAAGGGGAAGAGGTAAGTGAGTTAAGCGGTTATGAGAATTCAGCCACAGGGAAAGGAACCTAGGGAGGTGGACTCTCTTTTTTCCCTGTTGCATCATTTTTTCATTCTTCTTTTTCTTTTGTGCAGAGCATTCATGTCAGGTCTTGGTTAGGCTAATAAGTACGTGGTTTGAAATAAACACCTTTTCCTTAGTTGCTGTGGCGGGGAGGGCGGGATGGGAGTCAAAATAAATAAACAGATAAAAATTTACAGTGGTGGGAAGTGCCAAGAAAGCTGCACCTGACTTATGGTGACCCCAGTGTGTTTTCAAGGCAACAGAGGTTCAGAGGTGGTCTGCCATTGCTTGCTTCTGTGGAGCAGCCATGGACTTCCCTGGTGGTCTCCCATCCAAGTGCTAACCAGGGCCGACCCTGCTTAGGAGAGCCAGTTTGGTGTAGTGGTTAAGTGCACGGACTCTAATCTGGGAGAACTGGGTTTGATTCCCCACTCCTCCACTTGCACCTGCTGATGTGACCTTGGGTCAGTCACAAGCTCTGGCACAGCTGTCCTTGAAAAAGAGCAGCTTCTGTCAGAGTTCTCTCAGCCCCATCCACCTCACAGGGTGTCTGTTGTGGGGAGGGGAAGGGAAAGGAGTTTGTAAGCCGCTCTGAGACTCCAAGTGAAGGGCGGGGCATAAATCCAATCTCCTCTTCTTCTTCGGGGCAGAAGCTTTGGCTGTGAGCTCCGCGCAATGAGCTTGTTGTAAACTTACTAGGAAGGAGTTCCTTCCGGTAAAGCAAAGGTTCCTTACCTGAAGAATCTGAAAGAGGTAGAGAGAAATGCAGAGCAGGAACCTGTCCCGTCCTGGCAGACCCTGTCCCTTGTGGAGGTGACCTGGCGGCTGCAGGTGAGCTAAGAGGCCATTGTCCTGCTCCTGCCAGACTTATTAGCCTCACCAAGACCTGACGTGAATACTCTGTACAAAAGAAGAAGAAGAAGAAGAACAACAACAACAACAACAAACAATGCAATGGAGGGAAAAGAATAATTTGATTCCATTATACTGCCTAAGCTTTTTCAGAGGGATGTGTATAATAGTTTCAAGCAGTTCTCACAGGAACAGAAATTCTCCCCGGCATCTCCGGTTAAAAGGCTCAGTTAGAAGCAGTGTTCCCTCTCAGCTCAGTTAGTGTGAGCTATCTTGTGGTTCTTTAGCCTCCGGCTCACACATTTTTGCCTTAGCTCAGGAAGGATGGCTCCAGAGCAAACTAATTGATACAGTAGCCAACTCGCTCGCTCACAACTGAGCTCCCCCTCATGGGCAGTCTTCAAGCAGTGGCTGGACGGACCCTTGTCAGGGATGCTTTAGGCAGACTCTGCATTGATCAGGGGGTTGGACTGCATGGCTCTCAGGGGCCCTTCCAACTCTATGATTCTATGGAAATTAACCCCACCAGTAACCCATTTTCAGACAGAGCGAAGTCAGGCTGAAAACTTTAGCCACGTATTTGCAAAACAGGATTCGAAGCATCTGTTGTGTCCTTTCTCCTAACAGGAGTGAAAACAAGAATCCACAAAGCCGATATCGAGCATCACAACCAACATCACCTGGTCAACTCTTCCCATGAAGGATGCTGCCCCGGATAACCCTGATTATACTTACCCTTCATTCCCGAATGGCAGCAAAAATTATGACAGTACTTCAGAAGATATTTCATCTCATAGCCCCTCTGATAATGGAAGCAATGAGAGTCTTGGGAATTTTATAGAAGTGATTTCTTATGCTGAATTGGTCACCTGCATTTTCGGAGCCGTGGGGAACGGGATTGTCATCTGGCTTCTCGGCTTCCGCATTAAGAGGAATCCTTTCAGCACCTACGTCCTGAACTTGGCTGTGGCTGATTTTGGGGTCCTCCTATCAGTTATAGTTAATACTGTTTCCCCCTGGTTAATATTTATTGCTAGTTTCGATAACATTTTAATGGTGTCCTTTAACCTGATCCTGTTAATGTACAGCACTAGTCAATTTCTCCTGACGGCTATCAGCATTGACAGGTGCGTGGCCGTCTACTTCCCACTTTGGCACCGATGCCACCGGCCCCCACATTTGTCCACCATTGTATGCGCACTCGTATGGGTCCTCTCCGTCCTGCTTACTGCAATTACCGGCACTCTACAAAGCCTAAATCTATATGTAATAGGAATTGAAGGATATTACCAGTTTATGGTGAATGCCGCGCTTTGCCTCCCAGTCATAACTATTGCCACCGTGTCCCTGTTCGTCAAAGTCTGTTTGAAAGCTCGACAGCATCGGAGGGGAAGGCTTTTGACCATCGTCTTGCTGTGACTCTTCTCTTCTTCCTCCTCTTTGCTTTTCCACTGAATGTCATGAAGATCCTCTCTGATCTCGGTTATGTTCAAGTATACATGCCATATGGTGCACTTCTGTTAGCCTGTTTAAATAGTGGTGTAAACCCCGTCATTTACTTCCTGGTTGGGAGGCAATGGAAGTCCAGACGTAGGGAGAGCATGAAGATGATCCTCCAGAAGGTTTTCAAGGAGGAGGAAGGCTGTACAGAGGAAACCCCAGTTTAAATCCAGGCACGATGCCATTCCATGTGCCAAAAGTTTCTTCCTTCGTCACAGGCAGATTCCGTTAAAAGTTCTCAGTTTTAAAATCCACAAGGAAAACCTGTAAGGTTGGGACACACTCTGCTACAAATTCTTTTTTTAAAATGGAATCTCCTTCTCTAGACACTCTTTGGCATCCTTTGAAGAGGAATCACACCACTGGAACTGGAAATAAAGGGATTAGAACTACTTGGGGGCTCTCTTGTCATCCTTCTTCCCTGCCATAAACATCTGAATCCCAGATATGTTCCTCTCCCTAAGCTGAAACATACAATCCTCCTGTAGAAGTGTTCTGTTCCATAAGGTGTTCCGTGAGAGGAGATTCTTTTAAAAACAGAGAGAAGCCGAGATGTCAGACATGAGCCTCACCACTGAAGTCAGACTCCTTCCATTTCTAGAAGCTCACAATCCCACTGAGGAAAAGAGGTGGCCCGAAACCGGTTACCCTTTCAGGGGCTACAGGATAAAAATATAAGCCAGGTCTGATGGGTGGTCTTCTAGATGGTTCAGTACAAAGAACTTCATATGTCAGTCAAAGGATTTGCTATTCCCTAGATGGGGGTGGGGAGAAACTCTCTGTTGGTTGGATATAGTTTAATTCTGCAAAGGAACTAATCATATAAGCCTCAGCTATTGACAGTCTCTATCACCCATAACCAACATTTACAGATCAGCTGACATCTCTGTTACAATCACTCCTTTTCAACTCAGGTGGTCATTTAAAAAAAAATGTTTTATATGTTCCTATCCAGATTTTTCACTGTTCCATCACCAGTGCAAGGTGGTTGAACAAATGTAGTCATACAGGACTTCCTTCAGTGGGTGACTACAAAACTAAGGCTTGACTGCGGCGCAAAGGCTAGTGAGAAATCGCCCATATACTCTCTCTCTCTCTCTCTCTCTCTCTCTCTCTCTCTCTCTCTCTCACACACACACACACACACACACACACACACACATAGATGGACAGATCTTTAAAAAGGGTCACTACATTCAAGGGTTAATTGGCACTGTGTTCCACTGAACTTGAGAGGATCACATCACATAACTTCATCTCACCTAGGTGGAAAGTCCTGGCTATGGTTTTATTGTTATCTAGATTTAAAGATGAATTTAAAGGCTGAAAACTGATAACATTATTGGAAAATACCAAAAAGTCCCTGAATTTAAGGGGAGTGTCATTATGAAGGGGGAGGCGATAAGCCATTCTTAATGGATTTATGATAGTTTGTGTCTCAAAAGGACTGGAAAATAGTAAAAAGCCCAATAGCACCTTTAAGTCTAACAAACTTTATCGTCGCATAAGCTTTCGAGAATCACAACTCTCTTCATCAGATCCATGCATCCGACGAAAAGAGCTGTGTTTCTCGAAAGCTTATGCTACGATAAAGTTTGTTAGTCTTAAAGGTGCTACTGGGCTTTTTATGATTTTGCAGCAACAGACTAACATGGCTAACTCCTCTGGATCTATGAAAACAGCACTGAGGCGCCACCCACCAAATCCACCCCATGGTTCAAGCAGCGTTCCCTCTAAGCTGAGTCAGTGTGAGCTAGCTCACAGTTCTTTAGCCTCAGGCTCACACATTCTTGTCTTAGCTCAGGAAGGGATGGCTCCAGAGCAAACTCATCTATGCGGTAGTCAAACCGTTTGCTCACAACTTTAATGCCAGTAGCTCACAAAGTAGAATGTTTGCTCACAAGACCCCACAGCTTAGAGGGAGCATTGGGTTCAAGGTGAGTTTTCAAAACCCCTGTTGCCCCTGTTGTAATTATCCTAAGAGGGAAAAAAACAAAACAAAAGTGAGGCTATAGTCAGAGGTCGATTTGGGGGGGATCTGGGGGGATCGCAGTTCCCCCAGGTGAGGTGCGGGGGCGGGGCACACGACGAAGCCCCGCCCCCTGCTTCTGGCCGCCCCGCTTCCGGCCCTCATTCAGCCAGGAGGAGGCAAGAGAAGAGGGAGGGTAAGTTGCTTCCTCCCCGCCTCTCCCCACCCCTGCCTGCCTGGGGCCAGGGAGGGCCTTGGCGGGGCTTCCTCGCACTCCCGCCGGCCTTGCAGGTCCACCACTGGGCCCCTGATGTCAGGGGGTGTGGCATATGCTAATGAGTTATGCTAATGCATTCCCCTAGCTCTTTTTCTATGAAACAACCCCTGGCTATAGTACTTTGGTCACATTATGAGAATACAATGGTCACTGGAAAAGACTAAGAAAAGTTGGAGGCAGCTGGAAAAGAGGAAGACCCAACGTGAGATGTATGTCACGTTTCTGTTGGTTGTGAGGACATCTGTTTCCATCTATGTGTTTCTGTTCTTTTCTCTGAAGTCTCACCTGGCAAGGGAGGGGGAGGAGAAGGAGGAGGGGGTGGAGAAGAGGAGGAGGAGGAGATTGGATTTATACCCCGCCCTTCACCCGGTGTCTCAGAGCGGCTTACCAACTCCTTTCCCTTCTCCTCCCCATAACAGACACCCTGTGAGGTAGGTGGGGCTGAGAGAGCTCTGAGAGAACTGCGCTTTCAAGGACAGCTCTTGTCAGAACTATGGCTTGCCCAAGGTGATCCAACAGCTGCAAGTGGAGGAGTGGGGAATCAAACTTGGTTTTCCCAGATGAGAGTCCGCACAGTTAACCGATACACCAAATGCAACCAATACACCGGAGGTAACTCCGGTGGGAGAAAGAGGAAAGGGAGACTCCGAAGGTATGCAGATTGTCATCAAGTAGGGTTTTGCGAAAAACTCTTATTTTCTAGAGGGTTGTTTGATTACTTCTGTCCCGTGGCTTTGCTAACTGGCTCTCTCTTTCTTGCTCAACATAGGTCTGGGTATGAAATGAAAACATCTAGGGGGGGAAGCGACATCATTTAAACCATGGTGAACGTGAGCTCTGTTGCACCTCCATTCAGTGGAGAGGAGAACACTGTCGAATACAATGACACAAGCTATTTTCAATATTTTCAAGTGTACGGATGGCCCATCTGCTCATTAACTGCCCTCTCCTGCTTGTGTGGACTGGTGGGGAATGGAATTGGTCATCTGGCTCCTCAGCTTCTGCATTAAGAGGAACCCTTTCACGACATACATCTTGAACTTGGCCATAGCTGACTTTGCTGCCCTTTTGGGTTTGTCTGTTAGAGTTATACTTCATTTGATAGGTCTCCACAATACAGGTTCAGATTTTGCCTCTTTCATACTGTTTCCATACATTTTCTTCATGTATAGTGCAAGCTTGTATTTCCTGACAGCCATCAGCCTGGAGAGATGTCTCTCTGTCCTCTTTCCAATCTGGTATCGATGCCATCGACCAAGGAGGTCTTCTATTGTGGTCTCCTTCCTCCTCTGGATCATCCCTGGCTTACTTTCTGGAATGTTGTTGGCGTTTGATTATTATTTCCTCGATGAAAAGTATCTTAAGGTGCTGAATGCTATTTTCACTGTCAACCTCCTGGTTTTTACTCCCATTATGGTTGCTTCCACTCTGATAATGTCCATCAAGATCTTCTGTAGCTCCCAGAAACGTCAGCCACCCAGGCTTTACATCACCATTTTAGTCACACTCCTGTTCTTTATCATCTTTGCTGTTCCATTAAGTGTGATGCATTTTATCGGTCTCAACAGTGACCATCTTTCTTACATTCAATATGACACTTCTTTCCTCTTTACCTCATTCAACAGCAGCATCAACCCCATCATATACTATTTTGTTGGGAGAGACAGGAAAAGAAACAGGGGATCCTTGAAGGTTGTGCTGAAAAGAGCATTCAGGGATGAAGCAATGTGTCAAGGCGGGACTTAGCTAAAAGATCATGGCGAGTAAACCCTAACATGTAACTCCACAAAGCCTTTACACTAGGCCTGGTACCTAATCTTCTATCTGTAGAGTATGCCCAGGTTTAAATGTTTTTTAAATTGATTATTGCTGTCTTATAGAAACCTTTGGGATAAAATTCTTTGGGTTTCTTCTGGAGAATTAACATCCTGTTTTAGAACACTAGACAGTGTTGTATAACACCAAATGATTTCAATCATTTTAAATTGACATGTTTTTAAGCCCTTGTTTTAATGGAAGAAAATGAGTGTTTGTGATGTAACCTTTTAATTAGGAATTGTTGACTTCAAAGGAATAGGGAGTCGTGTTCTTTGAAGTTCAGGTGTGATCCTCCCTCATTGAAAGTTTCTGCCAATTTTGGTCAGAATAACTTGGCACAGATTTGCCAACGAGGTGAAAAGTTTAGAAACAGTTTTTGCCCTGTGTGAAGCAGCTCTCAATGAGAACTTATGGTTAAACGAGACGTAGATCATGTTTAACATATTCAATGTATTAGATGCTTGGATAGAATATCTATATATGTATTGTATTATTTTAAAGAGGAAAAAGACTTTACATTTTGAACAGTTATAACAAAGCTTTGTTTGCTAGTAATGTTAATTGGGAAGGCTTGCAATTACTGCCAATTGTTCCCTCCTTTATTTCATAGGGAAGAGCCTAAGCCTAATAGGGTGATATAATTGTTTGGTTTTTAAGACTTCATGTTATGTTTAAGACAAGTTAATGTAGAAGATGTCTGTAAAAAGTTAAAGCTTCAACAATTCTAAGTTTTGTTAGCTTGAGACAAAAGACTGCTTGCCTAAAGAAGAATCATTATACACAAGCAGGTGTGTGTGGACCCCAGCCAACTTGAAAGTACGTAGAAAAGGCTAACGAGGAGAGATGTTCTGAAGTGTGTCTTTTTGAAGTTTCAGGGAGGAACCAGCTATTGAGTTCAGCCAAAACAAAAGTCATTAAATCATACACATTTGCCAATTAGAAGGCACAGGTGGGCATTAAATCATGACTCTTGGCACCGATTAAAAAGGGTCAATTATTTGTATTGTAGAACAGTTCATGGGGTCGCAAAGAGTCGGGCTCAACTGTACGACTAAACAACAAAAGAACAGTGTCTCCTACAGGCTAAACTGAGCTATGTGTTTTACTTCAATTTTTACCAGAAGCAGCTTCATAAATAATCAAAAATAATTCTGTAAAATTTCCTGATGAACCAAAATGAATAATAATGTGTAAATCAATACATCTATAAGGGCTTAATGTCACAAGGTATTTTGAAACACTAAAAGAATTCATGTAAACAGTTTAATGCTTTAGAATTTTCACTGTAAGTGAAAATAAGTTTATAAAAATGCTTTAAAATACTTTTATATACATGTATTAAGTGTAAAGAAGAACTAAGTTTGTAGAATTTTGTAACTGAACTGACAAAATGTAGTATTGAGAATGAACTGAGTCTGAGAAGTTCAGTCAGAGGTAATAGGAGTCTGGGAGGAGTGCCAAATGAATAAACAAAACTATAAATTAGAAATAATTACCTGCACCTGTATTGTAGGAGTGGGAAATTTAGACAGCTACCATCCTGTGTGCCAAATATGTGATTGATGACTGACCAGACAAAGAAAACTGAACTGAACATGTCTACATGATGTCGGTGATTATGTAAAGTGAGGAAGAGCAAAAAGATTATATAAGTCGGTTCATTGCATTTGCTTGTTGAACACCCAGGCTGAATTAAGCTGTAGGGTGTTCCTTATTCGAATAAATACTTTTGTTACCCTTTACTGCCTAGATAATTGTTTTCACTGTGTGGTTTATTGGCTAGCCACACAAGCCAAAGAACCTTAGCAAGATATAAATGTGAAAATAAATAAATTAGCGCCTTTAGCGTATTGGCAACATATCATTTCATTTCAAGGCAAAGATGTTTCTGGTTACCTCAGGTTACCTCACTTTGGAACACTTCATTCTCTTTGTAGTTTTCCTGGTTTGCGCATTAGGCTTCTTGTTTTATTTTATGGCCGAGTTCTATATTTTTATGCTGCTTTATTGAGGTCCTTGGTATGGCAGCACTTTTTATCAGTTTTAATGAGGTGAGGTCCTTCATATTGCTGCAGTTTTATCAGAAGACCTGTGCCCAATGAGTGAAACAGGCACCAGATTGCCTGCCCCCACCTCCTCGGGATGAACCACAAGGGTGGGGAGAGCCAATTAAGGCTCATCGTGAGAATGACAGCCAACGGGGAGGCTGGCACACTGGCCAGGTTTGGTGACAGCCACCTCCCGCCACAGTTCAATGCCTCACAAGTTCCCCACTCTCCCTCCCTCTTCTGAGACCATGTGGGATTAACTAGCTGCTGGTTTCAGGGCTGAGCCGGAATTTTTTTGGCCTCACTCAAATTGGTTGAGAAGGGGGACTTTTTTCACCTGCTCCACATGGTCCGAAGGGGTGATGTATAAATAGGCCTGGTAAGGTGGTTGAGTCCTAGCTGGGAAGGGGGGAAGAGCACAGGTTGAGGGGATTTAGAGTTGGTAAACATCCGAGATCAGCGATGGGGGAGGTCCCTCAAACTAGTTACCTATCAGTTTGGCAGTCTGAGTGGAGCCTATTTGGGGTTGGGGGGACATACGATGAGCCCTAAGTCTTAGCAGACATGGCTGGGACTGTGCTCCTCCATCCCGTCTACGCACTCAGAAAGGTTTGGAAGGATTTTGGACCTGGCTTTGAGCCAAGGTTGGAGCTGCGGTGGCTCAAGTGGTTAAGACGCTGAACTGCAGGCTGTGGAAGGTCAGTAGTTCAGCGGTTCAAGACCCGAGTGTGCCGCATGACAGGGTGAGCTCCCATCTCTAGTTCCAGCTCCTGCCAACCTAGCAGTTCGAAAGCAAGAAATTGCAAGTAGATAAATAGGTACCACTTCGGTGGGAAGGTAACAGCGTTCCGTGCGCGTTGGTGTTTAGTCATGCCGGCCACATGACCACGGAAACGTCTTCGGACAGCGCTGGCTCTTCGGCTTTGAAACGGAGATGAGCACCGCCACCCTAGAGTCGGATTCGACTGGCTTTCGAGCAAGGGAACCTTTACCTTTACCTTTGAGCCAAGGTGGTTTCGCCCTGTTAGGAAGCACCTGCCTTGCAAGCCTGATACAACCCATGCGTCAACATGTTAACTAAATTGCGCAGATCAGCTTTCTACCCTTGTGTGTAAATAAAGTTCTCAGTTTAACCCATAACTTGTGTTGTGTTTCATCCAAGGGGTGGCCGGAGAACAGCTGGATCTGAGTCTACTTGCATCTCACAGGCCAACACAAACTGGGGGATATAAGTTTCAAGAGTCCAAACTCTAAGCATTTACTGTAAAGTGCGAAATCTGGCCTTATGAACTGGAGATGCTTTAATGTAACTCTAAAATCCAACAGGATGACTCTCGTTCTTGTCAGTGCAATACAGTTTTACAGGAAAAAAATTAAACACAAAGTAAAAATGGAAGATTCACCAGTTTCCTCAACAGTTGTGAAATCAGGAACAATGAAGTTAGGTCATTGCCTCAAATATTCTGTCCGAGGAGGTACAGAGATACCCACTGGTACAATAGAGAAAGAAGAAAAGTACAGACGAGGAAGAACTTCTAGATTGGTTCCTCAGTGGAACAAGCTTCCTCGGGAGGTGGTGGGCTCTCCTTCTTTGGAGGTTTTCAAGCAGAGGCTAGATGGCCATCTGACAGCAATGCTGATAGTGTGAACTGAGGCAGATCATGAGAGGGCGGGCAGGAAGGGTTGCCTCAGTGCTCAGTTCTCGTGACCCTTTCTCACACACCAAGGGAAATGCTGATCGCCACTTTGGGGTCAGGAAGCCATTTTTCTCCAGGCCAGTTTGGCTGATGAGTCAAGAGCAAGTGGGAATGGATGACAGGGAAGGCAGGACTGGATGGAAGGCAGAAAATACAATCTTTATAAAACATAGGTTCCTTCCAACTCTATGATCCTATGATGAGTCAAGAGCAAGTAGGAATGGATGACAGGGAAGAGCGAAAGGCAGGATTGGATGGAAGACAGAAAATATAATCTTTATAAAACGTTTGTGCCAGATAAAATATGAACCTCCAATTCTTTGCCCAACAGCCTCAAACATACCAAGCAGAGAGGCTGATGATCAGAGGTCCAAGTAGTGCATCTCCAGAGAGGAAGCCGGATCGGCGGTGCCAAAATGGGCTCTGGGTTAATATCCCCTGGGTTAATATTCTCAAGCCTTCGTCTTGATTTGACTGAAGCAATAATATTACTGAGCACTTTATTAATGTTAATCTGACTGTTTTATTCTGATTTTAATGTTTTATATTGGCACTTGAGGCCCTTGTTGTGAGCCGCCCGGAGCCCGCTTGCGGGGAGGGCGGGATAAAAATACGAGAAATTAAAATAAATAAATAAATACATTATTTAAAAGATACCACTGCCAATTAGTAAAAAAAAAAACAGCCAGAGTCCAGGAGCACCTTGAGGACTAACAAAATTTGTGGCAGGGCTGGAGCTTTCGTGAGTCACTGTTCACTTTTTCAGTTATCTGAAGCACTAAGCAGTGACTCACAAACGCTCATACTCTGCCACAACTTTTGCTAGTCTTCAAGGTGCCCCTGGCCTCTTTGTCTTTTTGACTGCTACGGACCGACTAACACGGCAGCCCATCTTGATCCATCTCTGCTGCCATTCAGTTTGTGAAAATACAACCCTCAGCTAGTCTGTTACTTCCGGATCCAGAGATGAAGCACGAGGTTGCTATAAGAGCGCTGACTGTATCCTCTGCAGAGTGGAAGCATCTGCTGTACAACCCGAACGAACATCTCTCTGATGCTCTCTCAGCTACAACAATGGCGTTAAGTCCTCACTCCAGGGCCATTGCTCCTCTACCCCTGATCAGAATGTGACATTTTGGTGTTGCTGGTGGGAGGGGTCCTGCTACAACAGGAGACCTGCAAC